ATTACACGCAACGGCAGGGGTGGCTTTATTGGAGGAGACCGACCGCGGTGCTCAACCTACCAAATTGGTAGGGATTTCGGGGCCTATTCGTTTTCGAGAGCGGAGGAAACGCGGCACGGATGGGAAACGAGTCGTATGAAACGTTTCGTGAGATTCGCCATCACCGGTGTCGGTTAAGAAGCTTCGCTTGGGTAGTTTGAAAATATTTCTTGGCTCTTTGTACGGACACGCTAATTCGTACAGATTTCTAGGGGCCACTACGAAGGGTCCCGATTTCAAGATTCCGTTCAATGTGCGCAAAACTTGGAACTCAGGGGCTTTTCGATAGCGTTGACTCGGAGCTTGCGGTCAGTTGGCCCGTTTGCCTTTAATCCTATCTTAGTAAAGTCGGGCAATCCCCCGATTCATTTTTCCCCAGACATTAATCCTATGTAACGCCCTATCGCGTTAGCGAGTGCTCCCTTCTGGGGCCGTGTTATAATTGGAAGCATGGAGCCGTTATGGAATTCATCGCGAATAGTTACATCATTGCTGCTCGCGAACCCACGTAGAATCCCTCTCCATTCGGTATACTTGGATTTTTTCATGACGTAGGCCGAGTAACATATAAATGCATAAGAAAATTGAAAATGAATATATTCCGATAGCAGGTCACGATCATTCGCGTCGGTAGTTCGCGTTTAATATGCATGTATCGCGTAAGGCGGGGTAAAAGGAGGATGCATGAGAACGACTGCGCGAGATTGAATTTGGCTGACAGTTTGACAGAGAGTATAAAAAGCGCGGTGAATAATAGACTGCCAACCCTCCGCAAACAACGCCCTTCCTCTACGCATACCTTGGGCACCCGGGTCCTCTCCGAAATCTAGATTTATCCGGAAACAACTTCTAGCCTCGCCGATGGAACGATCCTTCCTAGAGATAGATAGTCAGAAAATTGCCGAACAAAATGTTTTATCTTTATCCGAATACGGTATTCGTCTTCAACGTATAAAACACGTTTTAGGAGTGGTACCGGTGCAACGAAGGCATCGTATCAAAAAGTTGCTCGCATACTCGGAAAGGTATGGAGTTTTACCTACTGATCGATACTCGCGTGTCCTTGCACTTTAAAACCGTCCGTTGGTGACCCTACTCGTGCCTCCGTTAGCTTAAACAAGAGCTCCGAAATAAAATTCTAGACGTATCGCAGTTGCTACGAAATAATCCAATGGACACGAAATACTGGATTACGCGTTTAGAAGTAGGAAAAGATCGTTGATCGCTAATCGTATAAAACGAGCAGGAAAAATGCAGGAAAAAGTGTTTTGCACGTTTTAATATCCGCCCTCGTTCCGCGTCAAATTCGAAGTTGACGTTGAAGCGATTGCGAGGTACGGTTCGGTATCAAGTATCCATTTTCGTCTAGAGTATCCCTCGTTGGGTGTTGTCCAGTTTTATTCGTCGATGCCCTGGATAAGGAAAAACTGGCCATTTTCCTCCTCGAGCGGATGCATTGTACCCGTACAGGTAATTTAATGTAAACCGCAGGGAAAATGTAACGAAACGAGTTCTAAAAATGAGGGGGAGACGAGCGTATTCCCCGTGACTTGCGTGCTCTCTCTCCGAACGATAATCTCCAGAAAAGGAGTCCAAGTCCGTATTTCTTTGGGAGTGCCCGGGCACTCCCGGGGTCGCTCCATCGGGGACGTGGAACGAAAGTAGACCGAGTAGACGGTAACGTGGCGTGAGATCCTCGACGACACCTCGGCGTGTCCCCGGCGCGTCCCCGGCGCGTCCCCGGCGCGTCCCCGGCGCAACTGTTTTGAGAACCTCCACGTCGACAATGGCGAAATCTGTTAATGCCCCGCGACTACAATGTACTCGCTCCAGCGTGAGCGCCTCGAATACCTTTTAGTGGCGCTAATCCAAATTTGACCCTTCGGTCGCGTATAAAGGGATCGGTGTCCCGGAATGATCGGGAAATGTCTCAAAACTGATTTTTGCCGCGATACCCGTGTCCCTTTGTGTCTGGAGTGTTCCACGCCGTATGTCGCTGGCTCGTTCCCAGTCCGTTCTTTCAGCGAATAGACGCTGGATCCGATGCGACCAAGATATTACCGATTTTAGTACTTCAAGAGCACGCCAATTCGAGCTATTTGTTTTTGAATTCGTCCTCTTTGTCTTCTTAATTATTGCCGTTAGGGAGTCAACCTTTTACCGTACGAACGGATCGATGCGAGTTTGACCATTACGATTCCCTATCGCTTGACGTTAGGTAGGAACCATTCTATTTCGGAAACTGAAGAGTAAAATATGCGTCTCGCTCGTGACGCATCGTTTCGCCAAAGACTCGGCGTTCGGGTCTCATTCGGTACTTCGTCCTTGGTCATTCGGAAACGGGGAACTACCGATGGCGAAAGTCGTACGGGAAGAAAGAAAAAAAGGAAGAATTAGAAAGTGCCGGAAGCGACTAATCCCGCCGGCGCGATTTTAATCCTAAAATGACTGGCATTTTATTTCAATTCCGTCGCATTTAAAGCATCTAAACGAGTTTACTCGCAATATCATTGCTTGGCAGTGCCGGGAAGTACCGGGTCTAATAAATTTACGAGGTAAAAAGGTTAAGCCGCGTTATCCCTGTTCTTTATATTTCCGCGAGCAACGCGACTACCCCACGGCCAGACCCGGACCTCCGCCTTCCATCCACCCCGGACGGAAGATGGCGAGGGTGACTGGGAAATTCGTTTATTTTCTCATCATTTCAACGTGGCATCTTGTCCGTAGTCTTTTCTCATCCTCGAGCGCGAAAGAAAATTGCTTCTCGTCATAAGCGGAATATCGCCCTGATGAGCCGGGAATGCCAACCAGTGCCGGGGCGCCACGGGAATATTCAATTGGCTCCGCCATTATTATCGCTCTATTATCCGCTCTAATATCCACTCGCGATCCATTCGACGATCCATCCAGAGGTCCCCATAAAGGACGATTTCAAAACGCGTCGTAACCTCGAGGACTCGTCGATCGCGAGCGGAGGCGAATTGGATCGCTGGCCCCCTCGTCTTTCGGTCCGCGGGGAAAGAAACCGACATCACCACCTCGTAATCCGGTCCTGCATCCGGCGGCGGTGCCGGTCAAAGCCAAGGAGCGTAAAGGGGTACGCTTCTGGTGGCGGTAAACCAGCGCGCGTGCCGGTAATCGTCGGCGGGTCGGGGGCGGCGAGAGAGAAAAGCCCTGGAAAGCGCGCACTTAGCGCGTGCACGCGAGCATCGGCCAAGAATTTGATCCGTGTCTCCGCGGCGCGCGAGTGGACCCTGAATAATTCACGAGGCGATCCCGATAGGCATCGGCTTTTAATGCAATGGACGCGGCAGCCTGCCAGCGGCGGCCATGTTACGATAAAGAAATCAACATGGCCGACCCGCCCCTACCTCGCGAGGATCCGCCGCTCGCTTTCGATTTCACCCTCGAGCTCGTTACCCTCTCGATGCCGAAGAAGGGTGGATCTTCGACCCCTGCCTCTGCCCCTGCGTTCCTTACGAGCTGGCTCAGGGGTGGCCCGCCCCGCCCAGACGTTTTGCCCTCAGCCACTTTTCTCACTTCGGGATCGACCACCCCGCGCCCTCGGGGGGAACTCGATTCCGGGGCTCCTTTCTTCTTCTCGCCTGGCCAGCCCCCGGACGCGCCGGACGCGCCGGACGCGCCGGACGCGATATATGCCGACAAACTCCGAACGACCGCGACGCCTCGATTGAATTTCGGTCACGACCCCATTCGTTCGTTTTTACATTACGAACGAGTGGACCCGTCCGAATGAAGCAACGGCTTTATTTCTCAAGCATTTGCCAAAGTAATCATGATCTTTTCATATTCCGACGCCGAGAAGTTTCCTTTCGATAATGCGTAAGCGTTAATCAAACGATCGTATCGCCAGCGATTGACGGTTCGAAATTTACGACCACGATTGGTTATGGAATGGTCAAATGTCTTTCATTACGGAATCGTTTTTTGAATGTAAACTATTACCCGTGGCATGCCGAAGAACGGTTAAGCGTCTTCTGGGGTAACGAGCATATTAATGCGTCGGTAGGTACGTTTAACTGGAATGCCTTTCCGGACCGCGCGGGAATCGCCGTGCTTTTTGTCGCGGCGGTCGCTAATGGAAGTTTTTTAGCGCGTTTCCAAAGAGCGAGACAATCGGTAGCCGACTACGACGTTGGAGAAGTTAAAACTACTAATTAGTGCAGAGGGAAGATTTTGCCAGCGAGATAGGTGGTTAGCCGCGTATTAGGATAATGCCGGTCCGCTCTTAAGGTTCCACCGCATTATAATGGCCGACGATTACGGCGTGCCCACCGAGCTTCGAGCGAGAAAAAGTTTTACGAGGTGATGGAGACGCGTAGTACCTATAATGCCACCTACTTTACCAACACGGTATACGTCGACGTCCGTACACGGTCTTTACTTCCGTCCCGTAATTTACTGACGAACCGTACTGACACTGCTGTAAAATACCAGGGCATTTTTCGAGACGCGTGTTTCCTAAAGTATAGCGACAACCGGTTTTACCATGCGATGACATAATTAGTGCCCTCTGAGGAAAAAAAGCTCGGTTAAATTAACCATTCGTGAACAATTTTTTATCGCCAAAAAAGAATTATGACTTAAACGTAATAGATCTTGTGTAATAGTTAATAGTGTGCGCTTTTTTGAAACGAAACCATCAAGATTGAAAAATTTTGCTGACACGCTTTCATCGTTACTTTTATAATCAGGCAAAATTGCACGGCAGTTTCCTACACAATATTTTGAGGATCCATGTGTCCTCATATTACTCGCGTTTATTTGCAACCGGACTCGTTACGAAAGACAGATGCGTTTCACCCGATACATATCGACCGATTATTGCTGTCCATTCGGTCGTCAGCAGAGCTTTCGAGCTTAGTTCCGTTCTCTGTGCTCCTTTCCTCCTTCTCGTTGCTTAAACTGATAATAACTAAAATGGTTCACGTTTGTTACAGGTATGGTTCCAAAACAGACGCGCCAAGTGGCGACGGCAAGAGAAAATGGAGGCAGCGAGACTTAATCTAACCGATTACCGTCACGCTGCTACTATAAGGTATTGCTTCCTCCGAGTCATGTTATACCATTTAAGATTAGGGATGAACCAATACCATCCAAGTATCGATACTTATTTCTTGCATCGAAAATGAGCAGGAACTTGCAGCTATCGACGCTCGTCCGATCGTAAAGTGACTTTGACGAACAAATCGAAGACTACGGAAGTAGATTCAGGCATTTCACCGCGAACTAGCAATTTGGCCGCGAATTCTTAAATCGTGAAAATACGACATTTGAACCATTCGGGCCCGACGAGTGTATGCACACGCATCGTGTTAAGGAACCGCAGTCTTCTAACAACGAGTACATTATTCTTTTGTTCTATCCTGCAGAAATTTTGGAGGATCTCCTTTGGGCTTGCCCGGGGACCCTTGGTTGACAAATCCCGGAATGTTGAGTGCTCTTCCTGGATTTTTGGCGGCCCCTCATACCGGATATCCGAGTTACCTGACGCCCTCTAGGAGGTTGCCCTCTCCCCCAAGTGCTGCTGCGGTAACAAATGCAGTTCCAGGTAAGCACGGCGGCATTACACTTTGCTAGGTATAATAAGTACCGAGTGGCAACGATACGTAATTAAAGGACCAACTATATTGCGATTCGCCCTGCTGTTTACTCGTAAGCGCTTGGACGTCACGAGCCGTTACACTAGCGTTCTTTTACCATTCCTCGTAGATACCATAACATGGAAAACAGCAGTCAACGAATTAGCTTACGAGATAACAGATTTTAAAGCAAACAACGCCAAGTTCAAATGACGTTATTGGGAAAAATTACTAATGTTCGCATCGCTCGAATAATGAACATAAAACGATACGTCTATGCCCCTCTTCATCGGTTTGCACTCAACTGGAACAAACCTCTTCTTTTTTTAAACCCAGAAGTATCGAAGAAAGGTGTCAAATGGCGTAATAAAGCCTAACCAAGCACTTCCACTTATTTCACAGATACAGCGGTGGAGTTACAAGGTGGAATTGTAATTTCTTTCAAAAGTGGAACTACAAGATTTCGTTTAATTCATTGGATCTCCTCCCTAATTTGTGTGTAATTACATAAATGGTATAAAATGTATTCACCTAAAGAGTTCAATGGGCATACTTAACAAAATATTTCTTTTCTTTTATACACGATAACGTATGTTTTAATCGAGAAGAAATTCTTGGTTCTAATGTAGACTGTACTCAGTTTAATTTTAAAACATTCGCGCACTGTAGTCAGATATCTTTGTACGTAGGATACATGGATGATATAGTTTGTTTAAAAATAATTCTAGTATCGTCTACAAAGAGAAAATGGAGACCTGCAAAATTGAGTCATGTTGAGCTATTTCAACGTCTCCCTACCGTTTGTTAGAAGAACACGTACTATTAATAGAAAAATGATGTTCCATTTGATAATATTAGTAAGTTGTCCCGTGTACACGATATTTCCCTAAATTGCTGATATTTTCTAATCGTTTAGGTTTTGAATCGATTTGTAACATTTTCTTCCCGTTTGGTTATAGGATCGTTTGGTGGGGGTATGACCAATATAGGTGACGGTGGTGGGGGTCACGTTCCACCACCTCCCAGCCCACCAGGGCACGACCCGCGAACTTCCAGCATCCAAGAATTGAGGATGAGAGCCAAACAATACGTGGAAAACATCAAGGGTCTGCAGATGGTTTGAAGCTTGTCTTTCCAACCTCTAAAATCGGTACTGTCAATGGAATTATGTGGAACAGTGTCAAAGTTCCTGTTCGTCCGAGAGAGTGGCATTTACGGTGTGATAGCTACCTAGTGAACGAGGTAAAGAAAGTGTGCCGAAGTCACATGCCCACGATAAAAAAAGAGATCGAAAGTCGACCTCTCTTTCTTTCTTTCTCCGTCTATCAATCTCTTTCCCTATCTCTGTCCCTCTCTGTCTTTCTCTCTCCCTCCCTCTCTTAACTGAAACAACTGTTTAATCTTGACATTTACGGAGTGACTGGTGTACCATGACGAAAATTCAACAGTATTTTCTGAAATGACTCAGTTGTCTGGTGGTCAGAAAAGTATCCACCAGTTGTTGGCGTCCATTCGAAGCTATTGGTTGGACCACTCGTACGCGATGTATCGATAAAGTTTCGCGATAAGAACAATGAAATTAGCACTAATGTCCTTTGTTCATGATTTCTGCATATAGATCTTGGGTTAAAGAATGTCCCAACATAGGTCATAAAGTTGTGTCAACGACGCTGGTCTTACGAAATTGAGTTAAATTCCAGTTGATTATGTTAGCTGGCACAATGTCATTGGTTCCGTCGTCTGCGAATTATTTTCTGCCAAATGTACAGAGAAAATATCTGACTTGAAAGTAGGAAAACGCGGAACGATCATAAAGTGATTTTATGAAATTATAGTCCTAATCTTGAAATAAAAGATATTTTAATTGTGACGTGTAGGTACTCTGTAAGAACCCGCCAGTGAAGGAAATATTTTAGTAAGAAATTGTGCCGTAATACAATTTATTCGTTTAATCACACAATTCATAGACAATGAGACGTTCAATTCCGTTTGCTTGCTTACAAACTGTAGACTGCGTGTCTTTAAGGTAGTTCTCGAGACCTCTGACTCTAAGAAAATAATGAAGGATCGATAGTTCAATTGCTTTAACATGCGTTAAACACAGGAAAATAATATGATCGGTATTTCCAACTTGCCGGAGAATTAATAAAAATGAAACAACTTCGTGAACGTATAATAAATGAAAAATGGGTATATCGCCCCGACATCGGGTGAAGATAGGGTCTTGGATCAATCAGCAGTGAGAATGGTGTCTAAGCCCGATGTCGGCATTTCTTATCTAGGGCGTTTGTGCGGTTAAGTGAGGTGCAATATCGAATGAAAAGTGAAAATCTCCTCAATAATGTCAAGGTAATGATATCGTATAAGATACGGATGAGATATCGAACGAGTTTTATCGTGATCGTTAGAAGTGCACGAGGTAAAGGAAAATAATTCATTATTGGAAATCCGAGGTGACGGATGGACTTCCAACATTTACTAAAGAAGCTTTGCAAAAATAAGGACGACTATGTTTGCGAAGCTACGGATCCCTGAGAGCAATTTACTAAAAAGAGTTGAGTAGTTGAACCGTTGGTACGCGAACATCTTACCGTTTAACTCGGCGAAACGCCTGAGACAATCACGCATCGATGTACATATAATTACAGTGACACGTATATCGCTCATTGATTCTATTAATTATCAGCATTATGTAGAGACATGCCGTGTAAATTTATACTTACAAATAGTTGTTAAATGAAATAAACGCCGCGATACAACGTTACATGACCGGACTCTAACTAGATGACGTTCGGTGTTATCGAGACACGAGTAAAAGAGATGTAAACGTTCCGATACCGAGAAAGTTGCCGTCGCGGCATTGCAAAAATATACACGTAGAAACCATTGTTTGATGAAACGCAAGAGTGACATGCAAAGTATTACCTTGCCGAAATGACCGAAATTACCGATTAAGGACCATTGTAAAGTTAACTTGGAATTGAATTGTATTCAAAACTATTCACTTATTCTAATGCATTATGACATATCAATGATGAATCCGCTTCGGGATCGAGGAGTTACATCTATCGGCAAAAATTGGTCAAAAGGATTTAAGACGTCTGGAATTGACACGTATCGGTTCGTTTGTTTGTAGACGTAATAGTCTTTGAAGTGAAAACGGAGAATTAGGAATGTTCGTAGGTTATCTTAAAAGTGCAGACGCTCCCGCGGCATAAAATCCATATCTTGCAGTATTAATAAGTTAAGTAAACATGAATATTACATAGGGAATACTATGTACGAATTGTAAAATTCTGATTCGCATGCGTCCATAAAGAACTATGGATATCGAGAATGCATTGATACCGAGCTTATGTAACACCGTCTAACCCTTTTTGGCAAGGAAGTTTTACTCAGTACTTGCTAGGATTGTCTTCTTACGTATCGATGTTATGACGCATTGAAGGAAATATAAACGTCAACGTTTACAGTCGTTTCCAATGCACATTTTATTCTAGTGAAGAGATACCTTCCCTCGACGGTAAATAATCATTTGACGATGTGGGACTTCCTTGGGACCAAATTATCCAAAGGGTTAAGGGCTCTTCAAAGGAGTCAGCAAAAGTGTCGGTCGGCCTCTATACTTGAAAATGTGGAATGTTAGTAGTGTTTAAAGTTATACACTTAGAACCCACCTATTTGTATATAATTGCTAGTGATAAGAATAAAATTTGATGTACATATTTAAAGATTAGAGGACCTTTCGATGTAATCCTAGAGATTAAAGTGAACCTTCGATCCTATCTATACCACAGTAAGTATTACTTTCAACTTATCCAGATTCGACGAATCCTTTGAATTAATCAAGATGCGCTAATCTCGCGTTTACTGTGCTCAAATCTGACTTGGAATTATTTCTACTAATTAAATTTTTTTCCGTCACGAAATGCAATAACAAACGTTTGTTTCTTGGCCTGCTCCAAATTCTTCTTCGTTAAAAAGAACATGTATTAGCGTAACACCTATTCATCGAGACGCTCAAATCATCGAGTTGTCCTATAAGATGTTTACTTATTTCTGTTGTGGAGTGCATGTGCCTTGACTGTCCGTTACTGTAAGAATTGTACCAAAAGCCGGGAACAGTCGGAGCAAACATTGTTCCCAAAACAGTTGAGAAATAAACGAGTTTACCTAGGGCCAACGCATTGTCAAACAGTTCGGAAATTGCCACTCAAACTGTCCCGCAGTGTTTACTATTTTGAAGGCCGTACTTGAAACGGAATGTTGCCAAGGATTCGTCAATGGTGTCTTCAGTCTGGACACGCGTTCGGCCACGCTTTAACCGCGGGTCTGTGTAAGAAGGTATACACAATTTTCTATCTAAATGAGATTACAAACTGCCATTCGAGTGAACGTCACAGAACAGAAATGTAAATTAGCTCGACTTGTCGCGGAAACCGCGTCTATTCTTTTAGAATAAAATACGTGGATCACCTTTGGCTGCTGCGTTCCGCGTGTGTGCGACGCCCACCATTTTGGAAGGGCAAGGTACAAAGAGAGAAACAGAGCCGTCTTCGTGCATATAGCAAAGGGAAAGTCTACGTCTTACATCCATGGTCGGAAATGGCGAATCGGACTTTACACGGCGTATACTTCATCGGTACGTAGTAATTTGGTTATCAAGTATGACTTTTAAATGTATCTGTACCTTGTTTATGGCTACGGTGCCTTTGAGTTAAACAAAATTGTACAATAACGTATTATTGGTAGAAATCAAATATACTCATGCGACCACTGAGATTTCAATATTTGTTAAATGCAATATGTAAAGCATGTCAGACTGCCGAAAATTGATCCGTGTATCAAAACTGTGACATAAAATGGGCTACGATAAAGTTTCAAAGTTATACGAATAGAAATAAAACAGGTGTAAACTCAAATCCGTGTTATCATTCCAACGTTATCTTGTAATTTGCTTCCGTTTTATTTTCCATGTAAGTATACGTTCTATTAAAAGCACATAGACGAAATGTAATGACAAACGCTTAATACGCTCTCTTTGACTATTTTTATACATCAGTATTGGTTTAGGTTTTAAATTGATAACAGTACCCGTGAAGGACCGTTTAATTTCTAGATCTTTGGCTCTTTCTCATAATAGCGCGCAAGTTTATGCAGAAATTACCATTTCAAAGAACCGTTTTAATCAAACCTTAATTAATGTCGTCAAGCACCGACTCGATCCGAAGTCAAGCATCCGATTACCCAGTTTCCTTTCAATTTAATTGAAATCCAGAATCTTCCAAAACAACGTCACGCCATATTATTTTCTCCGCGGTTAAACCGGTTAGCCCAGATTACGTTATCGTGCATGGTAACTTTGACGTTCAACCCCAATATTAATGGTGAACTTGCTTTTTTATTAAGGGAGTGAATGATAAATAAAACTTCGATGAATCTCTTTCTCTTGGGCGGAAAGAATATCTCCGGATATATCAACTTGTTTAGAGAACTTATCAAGAAATAGGAGCAGATGTAGACAAAAGTGGGCACCGCGTCCGACACTACATTCCGTAAGACGATTTAAAAGTTTATAGAAGAATTATAGCTTATCGATCTTCTCTGAGTAACGTATTCGGGCTCGGTATGGGGCACGATGCGTTTACTTTGTTGTTATTTCGGCTCGACGTTGGCAGTTCTTGACATTTTAAACTCAAGGTGTTGTCGAAAGAAAATCACGCATTTTCGGTGAAATACCGCACCTTCCATATCGCATTAATTCATTTAAGATGTTCAGATTAAGTCAATGTCCTTAACACCTCTTAGTATGTTTCAAGAAATAATTACGCAAAAACACCTGCTAACAAACGTAAGAGATTTCAACTCCGTTCTATTTTTTTGTACTCTTTGCTCCCTACCGTTATATAAATTCAGCGGGAAAAACACTGACTTAATAACAGTTCGATACTTGAATTGCCCGGTCTTTTTTGAAGCTGCTGCTCATCATTGGCGACCCGTTGGTACGCATCGGCGATTAAGAAAGGAGGAGGAGATGACGAGGGTATTTATCGATCGAATAATCAGGATGAATGGGTGGGCCGACAGGGTAGAATAAAGACGTCGAAGGTCAATCTCTAGGGAAGCTTAGTTGACCGAGAAACAATGGAGTCTGAATGATCTCGAACGATTAGGTATTCCAATCGTCGCGTCGCGGGATCGAGTGAAGTGAGGGGGAGGACGTGAAGAGGAAGGGCTGGCGTAAGAGGGCGCTAGAACTCAGCCAATAAAATGCTAATTTCTGTTTGTCTAAGTTAACCATGCGAGGGAGTCTGGAAATTCGAATCCACGCGTATCTCCTAACTCCAAAGACTAATATATCTACCTAAAGCGCCGCCAACACCGGTAGAGCTGTTCCGAGAATGCGGCGAATTCACTTCAATTTTCAATGTCGCGAATATAGAACGAGACTTTAGGCACGCTCGATACACTTTGTTTCATTAGCTGTCGCTAAAATATATCTAAATTCTGGTTTCAGCCGTATATCTAGGGGAAACTGGTCTACCAAGACCGCAGTGTACCTTCATTTTTGTCCGATTTCAATATTTCCAAATATCCTTTTTCTTATATCGCGGTTAATTGCCTTCAATAGTCTCAGTTTATTCGCACGGGCAAAACGGGAGTTATGTTAGAGAAGTTGCATTTAGAGATAAAAAGTACATAAAACATTTCACCGCGAGGTCATCGAAGGTGACCTTCCATACCGATTCTATAAAAGATACTTTAGGGACACCCGGTAGGTTTTTCATTATTTATCGAGTGAAACGAACACGGATGTTTTTTTAGTTAGCTCATATTTTCACGAGTCCGTAACGAATTCTGGCGACGACGACAAATGGACGGTGTTGGACCTTGCAGCCAACTCCTGGTTGCACGGGCAACAGAGTTCACGCGTATAACTACCGTTTCCTCTCCTTTCTTTGTTCGACGTTATACGAAGGGTCGAAAATTGTCATTAATGACACGTCGATGCAACATAAGGGTTCCAAAGAGAAAAAAAACGGCCAATGGAGCGTTTAAGCCGGCGAGGTGTTGATTACCGAAGGAAATAACGAAAGTCCTTCTTGCGGAGTCTCGGAAGTTTGCCCTAAGCGTAAAACTGCACCCCGTCGCCCGGAAGTTCTGCACCATTTGCATTTATATAATCCAACGGAGCGCGCGCGGAGAACACGGCGGTGTAAGTAAATGGGTT